AAATTGGGTGGATTTACTAAAGACAAATAGTAAATAGTTCACTTTGCAAGGGAATTGTTCTTTACATTGGTGAATGAATTGAACCTTTGCTGACTTCCATCCCCCAAGCAGGTGCTAAATTAACTTCAAAGAGTCTGGTTTATAATTTGAAAGATTTGCAATGTCAGAAACTTTGCCATAAATCTAATGCAGCATTGTTTATATTCAAATGTCTACAGATTGCAATACCAGGAATTGTAATTGGATAGGTAACAGAAGATGTCGGAGGAAAGGAAGTTTATGGTAATACAAAATAAATAATTATACTCTTGAAAACAATGGTACTGTTTAAAACAGGGGTGCCCATAAAGTCGATCGTGATCTACCAGTCGATCGCGTAGTGATCACTGGTAGATCGCGATGTCCTGTCCTCCTGCCGTGGGGCTTTTCTGAATCCCCGCTGCTCTCCCCATCTGTATGCAGCGGGGATCCGAGAAGAAGTGAATCAACCGGCGGCGGCCGGAGGACGGAGCCGCTGTCACAGAACTAATGCAGAGAGGTGAGGAGAGAGAGAGACGCTCGGTCTGGATCTGACAGCCGGCACCTCTCTCTCCCCTCACCGCTCTGCCTTTTTGTGACAGCGGCTCCGCTGTTTGCTTCGTGTCGGATCCCACGCTGCCTCTGCCCGGGAGAGCAGGGGGGATCCATGGGAGATGCTGAGCCCCCGTGTGTGTGGCCGAGCGGCAGAGGATCGGTACATATCAGCGATATGTACCAGTCCTCTGTGCAGGACAAACACTGGAGCGATCAGCTGATCACTCGTGTTTGTAAATAACTGGGGACACATAGTACTATGTGTCCCCAGTTATAAATGAACAGGGTGTGATTTACATCACTTCCTGTTCATTCATGAGTTTCTCAATGGGGAGAAGCACTCACTACAGAGGCTCCTCCCCATTCAGAAACTGATCCCGAGGGGGCCCAAGAAAATGTTTGCCCAGGGTCCAATCAATATTAAAGACGGGCCTGGTTCTATACACAGTGTATAGGACCTGAGGAAGTCGAGAGACATACCATCGCTGCAGCAGGGAAGCAGACAGGCTAGAGCAAGTGCCGTCACAGCCAGCCACCTCCCGGGTGAGTAGAACTTTTTTTAACCTAGACACAAGGGTTAATAACTTTTTCTTTCTTCTTTAAGTAAACTGACTTTACAATATAATCCTAATTTCTGGAAACAAACAAGTTTATGTGTTCCTCATGCCTCCAACAGTCAGGCACACATGGAAGATTTAAAAAATCAGGTAGTTCTGAATTCGGAAAAAAAGGTTTGGCTTTCACGAGCCACAGCAGAAGGCTTTCTAAAGCTCTCAGTCACAGATGAGACCAATAGTCCTCTCCTGGTTGGATTTCTTTTTTGATTTTTGCAATAGGCCGCTTTCATCACTGACGAGTTTCTTTCTTACTTTCAATACATTACCCCAGAACTATGGGGTTAGGGTAACGGGAGGACACAAACTAGCGTCCTCCCGTCACCCTAAGATCAGTATACGGCAAGCTACAGCTCGCGGTATACTGAGACGCCGCAGCTGAAGCGGATCCCGACAATTATGTCTGGATACGCCCTGCTGCGTAAGTGACAGCTGGCTCTGCCTATGTAGAGGCAGAGCCAGCTGTACCCGCCCCCTCCCCCATCCGTTCCGCCAGTCAGCTCCCCTGTCACGGCAGAGAGCCGTGACAGGATCGAGAGGTGAGCGAACGCCGTTATGTTTTAGCTCACTTCCCGATCTACTGAGCCGACCTGTGACAGTCTCATTGTCACAGGTTGGATTGAACTATTAGATGAGTGAAAAGCACTTTAAAATATATTGTTTTTGTGTTTCTTTTACAGTTTTTTTTAGCTTAGTGAATAAGGTTTGTTCACTTGTCTGTGTTCATTTCAATCTTCCAATCAAATCCAATGTCGCCTTGTACAGTTTGGATATTCAAAGTAAACTTCATCTTATTCACAAAGGTAAGTGAACATTGTCTACTCCTTAAAGTTGGCCATACACTGCTTTGAATTTTGAAAGTACTTTCATATGAAATATTTTTTGTTTGACTTTCTATTAGTTTGATGGGATTAAATCAACAATCAATTTCGACTGTTGTGACAAAAAAACTGAAGGGAAGCAGGATGGAAATTTTTTCCCGAAGGTACGAAATTCTAACAGTGAATGTGGTTATTGTTCGGGAAACTCCATTCATTCCAAAATCGAATGTTAAAATAAAACAAAATCGAATGGTATTTTCGGTTGGTAAAGAAAGATCTTTCTCATGAAAGTTCAATCAGAAATCTATTAGTGTATGGCCAGCTTTAGGGCCGATTCACACCATATGTATTGGGGCTGCACTGGAAACAGGGCCGGATTTCCCACAAGGCCAACCAAGGCCCAGCCTCAGGGCAGCAGGGAGTAATTGTTTTGTACAAGTGATCTCGGGGACATTGTATGCAGCCTGCAGGTCTGCCATTCTCCGTGGGGGGTTGGCGGGTAGCGGGACGCCCTGAGGAACCTGGCCTTGGGGCAGCAGGGAGAGTAAATCCAGCCCTGACTGGAAACAACAGCCAGCATAGTTACTTACATATGGTGTGAATCAGCTCTATCAGAGTAGACCGTTTTCCTTGTCACAGACGAGATCTATTCACACCACCGCGTTGTGATGGGAACGCGGTGGTGTGCGCTGAAAAACAAGTATGGCATGCTGTACTTTTTTTCAGCACAGCAGGATGTGATGCAATACAACTGCCTCGCACTCCACTGTGTCCACAGAACTGAATGAAATGCCACTTCTGACGTTTCAATAAAGTTATACCAAAAAAAAAAGAACATTGACACTGTGTTGGGCAACATACACCAGCTGCTTTGCTGGTGTGCATTGGCCCTTAGTAAATCAATCCCATGGAATACTAGGAAATTATTTGACCTTCTCACAGTTTTCTCATTAATAAACCTTAGAAATACCTAGTGGTTGTAGCCAATATTGCTATAACATTTTCCATGAATGTACTGTATGTGTCATAGTGCCATATGTGTCTTATGTGTCATAATGTACTTCATATAAACATAATGTAACCGCCACTTTACAAGTAACACATTTGGTCAAATTTAAAGTTTCACTCTATACAGGAGCTTCATGTAATAAAAATTGGTCACTGTTGCTCTCTCTGGGTTCAGGGTGACTGGTCTTATATCCGCTCCCTCCTGTAGTTTTCTGCAGGTAGCCTGTATTGGGGGATAGCTCTGCTATCTGCACAGGCTATATGTAGCAAAATGATAATGATGATGTCACCAATCCCTTTGCAATATCATACAGTATCTGGGTTTTGCAAAGGCTTTTGGTGCAAACAAAGTGGATTTATATCCGTTGTGGCTATTGAGGAATATTATTATGTGGAAACATATGTGCCTAAGTTCAGCTTTAAACTTCCATTTAAAACTATGTCAACTAATTTAGGCAACAGATATATTTTAGGTCACCAAATTAACAACATTTATCCCAAATCACACCAGGTTGAAGTACATGGTTAGAGCATGTGGCAGCATTTGGCCACGGTGTACCGCAACTGAATAATTGCTATGAAGACCACATTATTTAGTATACATTACTTTGGGACCAGCCTACACAAGGGGGTCAATACGATGTATTTATTGTGCGTGTTCAGACACATAAAAATATAGTAAACATATGGACTTTATAAACACAACAAGCTTGCAGTTCTGAGTGTAGTCGCCAAGGCACAATTGCATTGCAATATTTATGTACATTTTGGAAAGATTTACCTCCATGACTTTACATATCACACAATATGTAATATGATAGACAATGGGGGCGAATAAATACAGCATCTGCGACACTTCTGGCATTAATGCTGTCTACGAATGTCCTGTGAAAAGCAGAGTGACAGTTCTAACGCTATTGCCAACACTTGCGACAAGTCCGGACAATTCTTATTAGTGTTGCTTTCAAATGAATGTGCACTGGCTCCTGCAATTTTATAAAGAAATACTGGCGGTAAAGAAGACCAATGCCATTTTGAAGTAATTTGAGTGGGGTGTTAGAAGTGTATCCCAGTAGCACCTTAGCAATCAATGATGATCAGCTGCACAATGTCATTGCTTGCTAGGATGCCCACAAACCAGAGGCCGGCAGCGGCCTAGCAACCAATCAGGCTCGGCCGCAGAACATCACCAGGCACTAGGACAGTGAAGACCCCAAGGCCGCCAGCATCCTAGCAAGCAATGATGCTCAGCTGCACAGCATCCTAGCAACCAACAAAGCTCGGCCACAAAGCGTCCTAGCAACCAACAAAGCTCGGCAGAACAGCGCCCTAGCGACCAACAAAACTCAGTTGCACAATATCCTAGCAACCAACAAAGCTTGACTGCACAGCGTCGTATCGGCCACGCAGCCTTCTAGCAACCAACGAAGTCTGGCCGCACAGTGTCCTAGAGCACATGGCAGGCTTTGCAATAAATTCATGCACATGTTTATTACACGTATATGAAGTTGCCACATTGACCAGCATGTGTTGTCTGGTGGCATCAGACACTCTTCTAAAGAATGTCTGTGCCACTCTCTATGAATTCCAGGGAATGTGTATTTTGATAGTATTGCTGTTAACACATCGCTTTGTTGTATCTTAACCATTTCGTCCTGAATTGTATTGTAACTGTACTGTCTTCCTTTATTTTGTAAAGCACTGCGCAAACTTTTGGTGCTATAAGTCCTGTATAATAATAATAAATAATCATATTGTTATATATAGGTTTTTAAATCTCTGTATCATAATAAAAACACATAAATAGGAACAAAAAAGATGATATGAAATCATAAAGATAACAAACATACACAAAACAATTGGGATCAGTATTGTTAAAGGATAGATAGATAGATAGATAGATAGATAGATAGATAGATAGATAGATAGATAGATAGATAGATAGATAGATAGATAGATAGAGATAGAATCTCATTAACCTTACCAGCATTCTCCCTGGATCTTGTATCCCCCTCCCTCCATATATTACATGGGTCACGTATATTGGCAGATGCCAGCGGACAGGATAGCCTCTTCTAGCCTGGCAGGAATTAAAGAGACGCAAGAGGAAGGAATATGCAGTGAGTAAGGCCTCTGTGTACAAGGCCTGCCTGGAAGGCAGATGAGGCCTGTGATCTCATGGTCACAGCACTACCCCTCCCACCGGATTGTCAGTAGCTACTCCCACAATTACCATAAAGCAAGCCCACAGCTCACAAATGGCTCAAATGACAATCAGAGCTGTTCCCAGATAATGACATCACCGAGCCCTATTTATAAAAGAATGCTCACGTTGCTTCTGGTGTCCCAGCACAGCTCTGAACACTTGCATCACGTTATTACACTAGCAGTATTGTGTTAATATGTTACTGTCGTCTCTCATTCATGCATTTGTTTACTTTGTGTAAGACACAGGGACTTCACACCTTTATTTCTGCTTCAGTAAGGTAAGCATGCATGTCTCTATTGTAAAGTGTTGTATAATAGTTCTCTCTCTCTCATCTCTCACCTAGCAAATGATTGTCTGTTTCTTGAACAGTTCATCCAGAATGATGCAGTTATATAACTCATCCCGGACTACTTTCTGCTGAAGAGAACCAATGAGGCAGCACAAAGCAAGGATGATGGGAAAAGCACAGTAACACATAGCAATCAGAACTCAGATTAGCTGAAGAAGTTAAAGTGACACTAAACTCAGGAGGTTAAAGTGGCATTAAAGGATATCCCCCCCCCCATCCCCCCATGCTAGTGTAAGGACTTACCTTAAATGATGCCTCTTGATCTGATCATCTTCTTCTTTCCTGAAGTTTTCAGGTGCCCCTCCAGCGATGGTGCCGGTCTCCGATCCAGCGCTGGCTCCTGTCTCTTCCTGGCACTTCCTGTCCCACGGAGTCAGTGCAGGTGCAAGCTGCCTCCATCGACTTACCTTGTTTCCCTCCTTGTCTCCTGGCCGAAGATCTGTACTCTGCATGTGGCCTCCTTATGATCCTTTTTCAGATCTTCGGATGGGAGCGCTTGGTGGAGACACAGGTAAGTTTAAACCTTTTTCGTAACCTTTTTTTTTATAGGCAACCCCCCTTTCCCGAGGGTTTAATTATCCTTAAAATCTTAAAGTACCCTAACTATTAACAAAAATGTATGTTATGTGTGTGTCACTCGGCTGTAGAGCCTCAAATTATTTCTGAATTTATGCTGACACTGTCCTTCCTTCTGGAGGGTGGCTACTTTTCTTCCCCATGGTCCCTGTGTGTGTTGTAAAGTAGCCATGGCTCCAAGCTCACTCCTGTGATGGACTACAATCTCAATACAAATTAGTAAACTAAACATGAGATTGTAGTGTTATCACACACATGGACCGTGGGGAACAAAAGTATCCACCCTCCAGAAGGAAGGACAGTGTCAGCATGAATTCAGAGATGATTTGAGGATCTAAAGCCGAGTAATACACAAATAACATACATTTTTTGTTAATAGTTAAGGTACTTAAGTGCATTTTTAAGATTTAATTTCTGAGTTTAGTGTCAGGTTAATAACAAAAATGTATCTTATTTGTGTATAACTCGGCTGTAGATCTTCAAATTATCTCTGAATTGGTGCTGACACTGTCCTTCCTTCCGGAGGGTGGCTACTTTTGTTCCCCATGGTCCCTGTGTGTGTTGTAACGTAGCCACTGCTCCAAACTTACTTCCGTGATGGACTACAATCCCACAGAGCACCTATTGTGTGGTACTATGCGTTGGCATTCATGTGAATGGCACCACCTGGCACCAGGGCATTGCAGCACAACATGCAGTATCGCAATGCCATTTGGAACGTACAGTATCGCAATACCTTGTTTTGCACCGCAACGCACACCCATCAGTAGGTGCCTTAGGGTGCCATTCAAATGTATGGCAATGCAACACACCTAGCGCATGGAGATCACATGCTAGGAGCACTGTGTGATAGCAAGCGCTAAACACATGTGGGGGAATTTATCAAAACTGGAGCACACAGAATCGGAAACAGTTGCCCATGGCACCCAATCACCATCATTCTTCAGTTTGTTCAGGTAAGATTTGAAAATGAGACAGAGAAGCTGATCGGTTGCAGTGCAAATCTGCTCCAGATTTTGTCTGCTCCAGTTTTGATAAATTACCATCATGGTCTTGTGCGTTTACTGCAACACTGTGGTGTGAATGAGCCCCCAGACATTTATACAGTTCATAGAATTAGCCTGAGGGCTAGTTCACACCAGATGCAGTTGTGATGCAGTCCGTTCAGTTTGGCAGCTGCATCAAAAGCGCATCACAATGATTTCCTATGGGATTTTCTGTGCTCTGTTCACACCAGTACAGTCCGTTCCGAAGCAGTCAGAAAAAATGCTGCATCACGACGCATCGCAAATGCATTGGAACACAACGCAACGCATCCAAAAGAAAAAGAAGAATTGGAAGTGCTTTGACAGGAAGAAGGAAGTGACATAATGGTCTAATTTGCATTTTGAGAACCCCCCCAAAAAACGCATCGGATCGTGTCAAAATCGAGGTAAAAACGCGGCAAATCGCATTGCACTGCAGCTGCGCAGACGCACACAGTTGTGATGCAGTTCTGGTGTGAAATAGCCCTTAAAGTACCTGAAGTAGTGTCAATCTCTAGAATTTATATCTACCATACTACTGTATTCAAGCCATCTGTACCAACAAAGTTTGGGCCCCACCGATGGCTAGTTCAATACCACTGGCCAGTAGGTTTAAGACCCAGGTCTGTTCGGACAAAGACTGCATTGTTGCTTCCACTATTCACCAGGAGACATAATACACTCATTCTATTGTAGTGTGTGAAATCAGATAGGCAGTAGTATTAGCATCCCTCTGAACATTATAGTGATTTCTATTTTATGTCATCTTTCATTTATAATTGCATGTATCTTTATAAAGTTAACACGTTACTGCTTAGTAAAACTTTTCAAAACCCCACAAGGTGTGCTGTGGATCCACGAAAGGAGGTCTATCACAGAGGTATGAAAGAGGACCCATCTGCTTCTCTGCGGCTCATTAGGGGGTGTGCTACAATTTTAAAGTACATATTTTTTTAAATCTATGATTTACATTTATAAAACTGATTTTGCTGGCCTTTCCTTGTGATGAAGTTATAGAGTGCTGGTCTCTACTGCGCTGTCAATCAATAGCGGATGGGCGGATCACATCTCCTCTTCATCATCTGCCTCCCCGGTGTGCCTGTGCACAGAGCGGCTGCACATATGATAGCTGTGTACTCCTTAGGTAGAGAGAGACACAGACACATTTTTAAATGGGGTCCCCCCAAACATTCCTACCAGGCCTAAAGGGTCTGGTATTGTTTGAGAGGGGGAACCTCACGATTTTTTTTTTTGTTTGTTTTCTTTACAAATGTCAGTTTTGCTGCAGTAGGTTCTATACATTGTACAGATGCGCCACTTTACAGGCAGTTTAAGAGGACCCCCCCAGGCACGATATTTAAAGGGATTTTTAATTTTTATTGTTTCACTTTCAGCAATGTTAAAATCACTGCTCCTTTAAAAATGGTATTTTTTAAAAGAGTTTTTTTCATTGATTTGTGTCCCCCAGGGCAGTACCCGAATCCCCATACACTTTTTCTGGCCAATAATTTGCATATAAGTCTTCAAAATAAGGACATTTGATTTTTCAAGTTCGGGTCCCATAGACTTGCATTGAGTTCGAGTTCGAACTTGAACTTTTTCCATGTTCAAAAGTTTGAATTCGAACCGAACACGGGGGTGTTCATGAGTAGTTCTTCCTGATGATCGTTGGGACTTGGCTCCTGTGACTTCTTTCTTTTGTTTTCCCTGGTCCTGCTATCCCTTGCAAGTGATATATGAGTCTTTCATTCTGTGTTGGAATTCTGGAATTATCTCCTAATCCTTGATGCCGTTGCTCATTGCCTGCTGCTGGGAGTCTCCCGGTCTGCTATTCCGGAGGATGGCATCTCTACTCTTTTTGTTACTCCTGGATTTTTCTTCCTTTTGGTTTAGTTTTACTCATAGACTATCTGTTCATGACCCTGTTTTGAGATACTGTTCCTTGTTGGGGAAATGTAAAGCTCACCCATGTGTTGTTTCTGTTTTTTTCTCTTCGGTGGGCAGGGTGGGGGGTTGTGGTTTTTTTTTCTTTATGCTGTTTTCTGGCTTTTTTTAATTGGCACTGTACACCATTCATGCCTGTATTCTGCAGGAAACTAATTTGACCAGAAGTAGTGTGCTTAGTCTAAAATGGGCGTGGGTTGGTCATTACTATCATGCTACCTATTCTGCATATGCTAGAGGGGATAGTATTCTGGTGCACAGAAGACCTCAAGCTGGACCCAGGGGGTGGATACGTTGTGTGTCATACAGTTCTTGAAAATGTTGATGTGGTTTTGGTGGGCCTTTATCTTCCCCCACCTGCTGATATTTTGGTTCTACACTTCCTGTGCTAGTGGCCTATCAGACGGACAAGATTATCATAGCGGGTGATTTTAATATGAAACCTTGTCCATCAATGGATAGACTTCATCCCTCTGTGGATCCCACTCCATAGATCTGTCTGGTTGGGCTGCTGCATATGGTTTCACAGATGCGTGGCGCTGGAAGAACCCTACTTTACTAGCATTTACCTGTCATTCTGCCACCCACCAATCTCTCGCATTGATATTATTTTTGTTAATGATTCTCTTTTGTCCAAGGTCCAGGAAGTTTCTATTCTTCCTATTCTTCTTGGTATAACTGACCATTGTCCAGTCCTTCCTAAACTCCCTCTGACTAATGCTGGCTCACGTGTGCTCTGGAGGCTCTCCTGGTACTTGGTAACTGATAATAGGGTGGTGCCTTTAATTGTGGATGAATTGCACCTCTATTGGCTTTCTTATCAAGGCTCTGCCCCGCCTGAAATGGTATGGGACGGTTTTAAGGCTAGCGTGTGTGGCCCTTATCAGACTGTTGTGTCCAGGGTTAGTAGGCAGTTGGACTCTTAGATGGTAGAGGAGGAACGCAGGGCCCAGGAGCTAGAGTCAACTTTTATTAGTACACTGGACCCATTGGTCCATTCTAGCCTACAGATAGCCTATAGGGAACTTCATCTCCTGCGTACTGCTGATACCCAGGAAAGGATGCTACATCAGTCACAACGTATATATTTGAGCAGGGCGAGC